GTTGGCGGGTTGAAATAGTTGGCCCGGCCCGCCAATTTTTAGCGGGCCAACGGGCCGGCCCGCGGGCCATGGCTCACTTTGCCATCCCTACACACACATAGAGACACAGACACAGACACACAGACACACACACACACAAACACACACAGACACACACACACAGACACAGAGACAGACACACACACAGACACAGACACAAACACAGACACAGACACACACACAGACAGAATAAAAAAATTGAATATTGATTTTTTGGGTGAATATTTACATTAATAACACAATAAAAAAATTGAATACATTTTTTTAAAAATATATCATTGTTTAATAACAAATTAATAATGATAGAAAATTCGTTATAAGTTATAACAATTTATGAATTTAATAATATAACAATAAAATTAATCTAAAAAATATTGCAATAATTCAATAATTTAAAAATAAAAAACAAAGGATGGTATTTAACAAATAAGAAAGGTGTCATTTTTAAAATTTGAGGGAGTTACCTCTGTGTATAAATTAGAAGAGTTGTGTTGTACAAGAATGACATTTAACAAATAAGTAAAGGGTATATATGGGATTTACAAACTTGCATCCACCTAATTATTTTTTAGAAAGAATAAATTAGGAGATATATATAGGTGCATTTTAAAAATATAATAGTTACAACTTGTTAAAATATACTCTTTTTATAGAAGGAGTAGATGCACGATAGCAAACTCTTAGACATTTGCTAATTTGCACCCACAACACACACACACACTTATTTATCTCATTTGAGTGTGTATTTTACATATATGATTTTTTTAAAGTGAGAGAGTGTATTTTTGATGATAAAGTATATTTACAATTATCAATTAAAAATTAATTATTGAGAATTGTAATAATTCAATTTTATAAGATAAAATTTAAAATTATTTCTAATTATAAATTTTAATTTTTTAATTTTAATCAATGGTCATTATAATATTTTCTTTTCTCTAGTGACACATTTAAATATGTTCCACAACAAGAAAGTTTCGTTCTTTATTCATTAGCATACATCCCAATTTCACTAATACAAGCAATCAGTTAAATCAGTGAATTGGATTTTTGAAATTTAGAAACTTTTTCTTTTGCTCGCAATACCCTATATTTAATATTAGTTTTTTTAAAATTAAGAAATATTAAAAAAAATATATCACAATGAAATTCGAACATAAGTCTTCATATTATTTATTTATTTATGAATTCAATATGTCTTTAATTCTAAACTTTTATTAATTTTTACTTTTAATTTCCGAACAACTTGTATTTGATTTTAATTCTTAAAATTTATGTATAAACAAAAAATATTGATATCAGATAACAAAAATATTAATAAGAGAAGAAATTTAGAGATTAAAAATGAAAATGTAAAAAAATTTAGAAACTAAAACTACTAAAACAAAAACTAAAAATTGAAAATCAACAAAATTTGAGAACTACAAATGTATTTAATCATTTATTTATTCTTATAAATAAATGTATTAAAAAAATAGAACCTCAAATATAAAGTCAACAGAAAGTAGTGAGTGGAAAAGAGCATTGAGATGGAAATGATGCTGACCTGTCGCAGTTGACTAAAATGATCCACGGCCTTACCGGAGAACATGTGAAGGGCACTTATTTTGCGCAGCAACCGCCAGCGTGGGCCGTAGGGAGCAAAAATAAGGTCTTGTTTGTTATAGGTCAAGTATGTGGTCTTGAAGTTTAAGGGCCGGTTGCAGAAATTCGTGTCGTGGACCTTCAAGAACTGCTCCGCCACGGAGGCAGAAGCCGCCACCACCACGTCAGTGGCGCCGAAGCGGAGGTGCATCAGCGGCCCATAAGTCTGGGCCAAGGCTGTCAGGCCCCGGTGCGGCGCCCGGCCCACTTGAGGCAAGTTTCCCACAATGGGCCATGGCCTCGGCCCTGGTGGCAGAGGTAATGAAGGCCTCCTTATGAGCTTCAAAACCTCGTAAATAACGATCGCTGCTACAATGGTAGCAAAAACTATAAGCCCAAACATGGTTTATGTATGTGTATGCGTGGAGCGTGGTTTACTATGTTGTGTGTCACTGTTTCATACAAAAACAACACACCCTTCTCTCCTTATTTATACAGATTTTTATAATATGAAAAGAAACGAAACCGTACAAAATAAATATATTATTATTATTTATTTAAAATATGACACCTATTATTAGTACTATTTGTCGAAAAATATCTTCGTACTTAACAACACTTCTCTGACATTGATCTACGACTCTACGTGCTTCGCGTTTAATATAATTATGATTTTAATATTATTTCATTCTTTATAGTTTTATTTACTCTATTCTACTTTTTAATCTTGATAATTTAAAATATTTTTATTTTATTTTATTTACTTAATTTAACATTTTTTATTCTTATAATTTAAGATATATCTTTTAAGATCTTATATTTAATTTTTTTTAATCTTTTTAATCATTGTTAATTTTTTTAATATTGTCTTTTTTTATTAATATGAAATAGATATTAATCCAATTTTATACATTTATATTAAATTTATTTTGTTAGAGTTAATATAAATTAAATCTTTCAAGAATTCGCATCTCTTTTATACTTTATTTGCAATGTTTATTGAGACACTTTTTTATTCTTATAAAATGAAAGACTTCTATCATGTTAACGTAAAATAGACAATATAACCAATAATAAAATTAAAGATAGAAACTAAAAAATTTTAAGTACATAAATTAAAAAAATTGTCTTAAACTATAAGGATTAAAAAAATTTAAAAAGATAAATATAAAGATTAAAAAATATTTTTAATTATATAAACTAAAAATAAAATAAGTAAAATTATAAAGATTAAAATTATATTTTATTACATGAATCAAATCATTATATAGCTAACAAAAAAATGTTCGTGATATCAAAACTAATAAATTATATCACAAAGTGTATGCAGGACGGAGTTAGGATTAAGTTTTAGGGATCAATTTAAAAATTAAAATTTACTTACAAAATTTATAAACATTAAATTTTATATAAAAATATTATAATTATTTAAAAAATAAATAAAAACATCCTTTTTAGAATACTTAAAATTACATTCCAAAGGAATTTAACTCAATTAGTTGAATAAGATACATAAATATTGTAAGTTTCTTCATACTAAATTTGTTTTTCATGAATTAAAAATATGCTTAGGATTATATAAATATTAATTGTGAGTCTTACATGCTACCAATAACTTTCATAAGTTTATTATATAAAAAAATTATATGCATCTTATTAATAAAACTAAAAAAAGAAAGTTCTATTAATAATATTGTAAAAAAGTTATGTAACTCACTATATTATCTTTCACAATAATAGTAACCAAATAGTCAATGAAAAGAAATTTATTTTCATATTATTAGAAAAGTAAGAGAAATAGTGGTATTTGGTATGAAAATAAATTTCAGTAAACCTCTATTGTAACCCAATATTAAGCTTATTTTCTCAAAATTTACATAATAAAATGTCTGGATTTGTGCCCTCACTAAATTAGAAGTAGAAAAAATAAATAAATACCAAACCCCCTTAACAAGAGGTAGTTAAGTGGCATTTGACATTGTCAAAGAAAGCCATGGCCTGATTTTATTTTATTTTATTTTTGGTGCAAACACCTCCATGCAGCAACGCCAAAAGAGCCACGTGGAACTTCTTATTCAGAAAATGCCAAACGTATAATCCATCAAAAAGCTAGTTCTAATATGAAGTTCTCCACTTCAATTTAACACACTACCCATTATTGAAATGGCTCGCATATGTAACAACTGATACAGAGCTGAGTCAACTTGACCCCTTCCTTAATTGAAGATCTTCATTTTTTTTAATAAAAATGTGTAATTATTAGGATCACCGTGCGTAAAATATTATTTATTTTTAGTATTTATTGGATTCTCACGTAATTCTATTAACATGTTCGAGTTACTTTGTCCAAAATATTCTTTTTTTTTTTTTACGTTTATTACTCCATTACAATTTTATTTTTGAAAAAGTGTCTCAGTAAATTAAAAAATAAAATATTTATAAAATATTCTTAATCTCAATTTTTAAATGATATAAAACTTATGAGTTATGATCATATGGAAAGAGAATGTGTCGCATGCCGCAATGATGCGAAACAAATTGTTATAATATTTATTATGTTGAATGTGTTTACATCAAGAATCATTCATGCGCATTCTCGTCCAAGTGTACCAATTTGGCACTATCGCAATCTTAGGTCTTAAACCTTCAAGTAAACAGACGGCATAAAATCTGAAAAAACATTCAGTTGTATATTGTCACAATACAAATATATATATATATATATATATATATATATATATATATATATAT